AATTTCGTAAACAACACCGTGGCGAGAAGGCAGTGAGTAGGATTTCCCTAGCAGTGGCCGTATACGCGTGACCATGTGAAAACATTTTGAGAGGGAGAGTTGACTCGCCTCAGCCTCGGCTGTAACGGGACACTTGGGAGAGAAACAGCAAATAGATAATATGCTTGACCACTGGATGGAAGCAAAGTAGCAGACAGAACATAGCAAGAGCTAACTACAAGGTAAGTTGATTCAAGTCACCAAAAAGCCAGATAGAACATAATTAATGAAAATCAGATACTGAAAAGAGCTATAAAATACACAGCCTCCAAATACCCTGATACAGTTGAGGATGGGAAAGTCCGCTCTCTCTCTCTTTATCTCGAAATGCCTCCACATGACCAAACGTATACAGCAACTGCCAGGGAAATCTTATTCACTGCCTTCTCGCCGCAGGGATGTTGCTTACGAAGTTGAGGGGACGAAAAGCGAATTCCAGAGCTTTATCGGGTCGGTGAATATGGGGAATCCAACTACGGGAGTTGGAAACCCTGATATCAGACCAATGGTGCACATTAACTGCGAGATCCTGAGGGAACAAATGGCATCTGAATCAATTGTTGGTCACCGGCTATCATGGGATTACATCTAACGTTGCTCCACTGCCTTGTGCATTAAATCTCTAGGTCGAAGGCTCTAGAAGTGGCCCCCTAAAAAAAGCGCCTGCTTAGGTCTGGGTGCCTGCGTAGTATCCCAGCCTCACACAAGTCGAATGACAGAGTGTGATGCATATACATTTAGTGCGTGTTTAAATAAATAAATAAATACAATACACAAATCAGAGTACATAATCCAGGTTTACAATATCATAAAACTGTTATTTTCCAGCGGGAAACATTTTTTATCCTAGAAATTGTAAATTTCGTAGTTCTGCTCCAATTCACAAATATTTTGGATATTAAGTAAGGATTTAGATAGCTCCAAAGTTAAATGGATGACTATTCATTAAGAAAAACACTAAGTACGGTAGAGAACGATTAATGCAGATGGAAGTGGCATACAGATTAGAACATTTGACCCCTGACCATAAAGTTGTAGGATCGAAACGTTTTGCTCATAAATGCATTATATATATATATATATATATATATATATATATATATATATATATATATATATATATATATTGATAGATAGATAGATGTAGCTCACCTGTTTGGCCATAGTATTCCCAATTCTACTTAATGCTTTGATTATGAGAGTTGGTGCGACAGGATTGAATTCTATGCGTTGTATAAGTAACTCACTACATAAGGTAGGAGGACAAATAATCCTTTCACACAAATCGTTTTCAGTGAATGTTGAAGAGGACAAAATAAGAACTAATAAGCAATTTACACACGCACGAGTACTGTGAAGACGAAGGAGGTTATGAAAGCGCGAAGGATGTTCACTAACAACAGTAGGAAGGTTCTAAAAGCAAGAAAGGAGTGTACTATTACATTGAAAACCACTGAACATCTTAAAAGAAAAAAGTGCTGGATGTCACAATGAGTCAAATCATTGTTTTTTCCGACTGATACTAAATGAATACGAACTAAACCTAAGTGTTTATGATGAATCGCTATACTATAGAGAATTACCTCAAAAGTCTTACTGATCAAAGCACACAGTAGTCCAGAAAAAAACAAGAGTTGACATTAATAACTGGAACCAAGCTCTCCTTGTTGCGTTAATTGCTCTAGCCACAGACAAAATGCACGGATGAATACTATTCATTAATCCCTCAAAAGGAAACGTATTAACTGACAGCACTATGTACTTGCATAGTTTCAAAACAAATGCGATACAATCACGAGCAGACGGAAATTATTAGCCGGACATTCAGCTTAACTGATTTTCAAAAAAAAAAAATATTTGGACACCAAATCTACTGCAAGAAATCATAGGCACAAGATACGACAAAAAGTTGGTAATACAAGTGGAATAAACAAGGAGCTATAAAATGAATGTAGGAGACAAGATAAAAAGTTAAAAGTAAAGAAATGTAGACGGGTAGAGTTGAAAGGTGAAGACAGTGCTAATGTGAAGAAAGATTACTCCACACACTTTGGAAACATCAGACCATCAAAACCAAACCACAATATTAAAATTAAAATCACTAACTTCTAGGATCATAACTGTTATCGGAGAGGCGCACTCTGGTGACTTTCTATACTTAGAAGACAGGACTGATCGTCCACCGTAGACTCCAGAAGACAGAACAAACTTCTCAATTTCTGCATATTCATCGTGACCAATCCCTTCATCCAGAAACTGTACAACGTCAACTTTATCAAAGATAGAACGGGAAAGAACTTCAACTGCAGTAGTTTTGCCAGAACCAGTAGGTCCAATTAATAGAATTATAGGTCCACCGACTAGCTTTGTAGTCGTTAATGTCTTTTTAATGCACGTGCGTAATTCTTTTAATTTGTCTTTGTGAACGGCCAAGTCATCCTAAAGTGATATGAATTAGTGTAAACTATATTTACCACACAGTTTACGTAGCATAAATCGATGCTTGATCCATCGAGTTTTGGCAGATTTGTTTGAATCTGACTGTTGGACATCTCCTTTAAAAGCCATTCTTTGGTTTTTGAACGCATGTGAGGAGACGCACCGTTTGAATGTAACTACAATATCCAATATCTTTTTCACAGCGCTTGTTTAAACTAACTGATTTCTATGAGCTCCATTCTTGTTAATTCGGTAAGGTTTCGGGTATTTAGTTATGCACAATGGTTGATAATCTGGCTACCCTATTGTATTAATATCGGTCAGTGTTGTATATTTGTATATTTTGTAGTTAAGTGAGTGCACTTGTCCTTGGACAGTAAGGCTTCTGGATACCAGCAGAAATCACATTACCAGATGGGAGGGTGATTGATTTCATTGTGAAAATAATAAAACGACAGTCAAAGTGCTAATATGAGATGATTTTTCAAAGTATAAGCACGTATAAGAAGGCATTATTCAAAGAGTAAGTGGGAAAAAACTGTGAACCTGCCATGGTGTGGCTGCCTAATCTATTACGTCATAAGCAGAAAACACATCGTTGTCTTCATTGACTCTTCCCATCGTGATATCCAGCGGTTGCATTAACGACTTATGAAGAACACACTTGAGATCGGGATAAAGTTACATATTTAGTGCAGTGTATACGAGTTTGCGTCGAGTCACGCCGTCCCGGTTCTGTCCACACGCATCCACCATGTTTGGCATTCTCCTCATCTCCAATGTGAGTCTTCGCAGTCATTGTAATTTCGGCCTGGAATATCGTGTGATTGAGAACCAATACCACTACAGATAACAAGGAGGAAATTCAGAAACTAGCAGCGCTGTAAACTGAAACATCTTTCAAAAATTTTCGGAAAATGCATATGGTTACTTAGTTACCTCTTTTTGTCTTCGGTCGACCCATAAAAAGCAAGCATAAGGGAAAAAACGATTAGATATGTATTGACCGACAATGACTAAAAACATTGCATTGTTTGCTTTGTTTAGACACAAACATTTGATGCAGCTACAAACGGTGTATTTTTATGTCTGCAGAAAGTTATGGTATTTATCTGGAAATTGGTCTCTACATAAGAGTGGAATAATTCAGATCCAAACAAGAGCCAACAGCCAGATATAACAATTGTTAGACGAGAATTTTCGAACGACCAATGTCATGAGCAGCTATTTTAGTAGCAAAATCCACTACATGTACTGATTTGAATTTTTGTAAGAAACAGCACATGCTAGATGGTGTGAGAATGCATTCCGTTACGGTAGGCTCCTTACGAAATGAAAATAGACGTTGTCAAAACGTCTGTTGGTGTTTGAGGAACTTATACACTGCCTATAATCGTCTAATTTCTGATAGCCCTGATAGAACTGTAGGCTTTTCCTTATACATCAATCAATTTCAGGCAGAAAAATACCACGAAGTTGATAGTGAAGATGCCACAGGCATTCGAGTTTGACGATGCTTAAACCAGTAACGCTTAATATGATGCGTACCCGCCAAGTGAAACCAAAAGACAGAAGTGAGGAGGTTCGAAGATATATTTGATAAGCTATCAATATATCGAGAATCGTCTGAACTAATCTGGCTAGCGACTGCAGTAAATGTTGAGCATGGCGTTCCTACACGCGATCTGGCGCCACTACAATATTTTTTCAAACAACTGAATTGGGTATGTTGTAAAACGTGTTAAGGACTCATAAACTACATGGTTTATTTAGTTTTTACGGTAACGCCTCTTGAGCCTGGGAAGACTAAAGCAATCTATCTGATGCACCATGATTTCCTCAATCTGCATCATCATAATAGAACTGTATTTACATTATCAGTCATGTGATGTCTAAAAATGTGTGTGTAAGAAAAATCAAGGAATGCTAAGAACATTCGAAGTTAGAAAATAAACACCCACATAGCCTTAACATTACAATGATAAGTAGAACGGTCAATATCAGACATATTTTTTGCGACAGAGATAAACGATCAATCTTTTGAAATTCTTCGAAAACCACACTCAGAAGATAAACAATGATAAGTAGAACGGTCAATATCAGACATATTTTTTGCGACAGAGCTTAACGATCAATCTTTTGAAATTCTTCGAAAACCACACTCAGAAGATAAACAACGAAGTATTCAATAGTGTCAGAATTACAGTGAAATTGAATGATGTCAGAGACAGATGATAATATGAACAACAAACTGGCTATCTACAGAGAAAGCAGTATCTCACACATACCTTATCAGGATATGACGCTTATGGAATTCGCTACTAGACGAACTAGTCCTTAAAATTAAAGACCGTCTGTGATGGGCATTATGAATTAAACAACCCTTATAAAATGAAATATAACCACACAAGACCGTATTCTAAATTAATAAATTCAAAGTAAAATAATCGGTCTCTGCTCTTAGCTAATCATTAAGATGAAAGAAGGAAAACATAGGTTGTTTAAAATTTCTAAAAGTATACATATCAGCAGGTAGTTTTTTAAATCACGTTACTAGTGTAACAAAATCATGGGCGACATGTTAATCCGTGTCTAAAATCATAAGGATTCAGAAGGAAATGCCGAAACAAAAAGTAAATTGTGCTTCAGTCGTCACTTGTATTCCCTAGTCTGGGATAAGAAATGAATCGTTTGAAATGGAAGAAATGGAAGATAGTTCACTGTGGGTTTTCTTAAAATTATAGTTTTCTAACATAAAAGTTCTCATTCACGCCATAGTGTCAAGAAGGCTACAAGGAGAAAGCTGAATAAAAGACAGCCTGATAGTCAAAAAGCAAGTACATAAGTTTGAAAGCTATTTCGACTAATTTAATTTAGTTTTTTGTGAAAGAACTATTGAAACAAACGAAGGGATTGGTAGCCAAGACGGAATCCTTGAAATTGTTATTTATAGAACTGATCGGCTCAAGGTGGTTCCCTCGACATGTCATTTATTTGTTCGGATTCACATTATGGATACTGAAACAGAAGACTACATAAAATGTGACAAAAAGTAAAACATACGTTTCTATGCTAATGCAATAGAGTCTCTGAGTCTATGGAAGAACAGTCAATTTACGTACTGCCTGTCAAAACAAAGCTGGCCAATACAAAATATCAGGATTTACTTATGCCCGTATGGGATGAAATAATCATTATCAACGAAGCCTTTCGCACTTTTGCCAATAACAAGAATGTTATTTTGTTTTTTGAGGTAATTTTAGCAATAATTTTTAGTGTTTGAAAGCATATTTTGAAACATTTCAAAGGCAACAATAACAGATCTTATTATTCTTTGATTTATTATGAAAATAATTGCTTGTTTTGGATTTATTCAAATTTTTGTCTAATAAATTTTTATATAGTAGTACCTTTGAGTTGTTAGAATGAAGGATTTGCTTAAAGGTATGGGGAAAACGACTGGCCATCTCAAGATAGAAAATTAGATTTATGAGACTAGATAATTAATCTGTGTGAACTATCACATAATAAAATCATAATAAGCAGGTATTCTTCAAAACTTAAATTTCTGGTTCCTGTCAATGAAGCGTACATGTGCTCTTGTTTGCCCGCTTTATATAGAATACTGTTCTAAACGAGTTGCTAACCATATAGATGAACAGGAATTTCAGTAAATATTGGGAAGACGTAATACAGTAGTCAGGAATACAGATACAAATCTATTGTTCGCGAAACAGAAAATTAAAAATAATTTTTTGATGATTGTGGGAGTAGATTTTTGGGCGATAATCAATATATAGCTACATATTTGTTTAATCGTTCATGGTTATTCAGTCGCTATCATTTCTGCAAATATACCTATAGCGATGTGGCTTATAAATATTGTGATGTTTACAATAAGTAAGCTCTTCAAAACCCAGTTATCAGTCTTGTCATTGGGTATAGTGAAGTATAATTCTTCGGAAGCAAAATTGGTAAGTAATCTACTTTGTGTTTTATGTTTCTGACTGTCAAATTATTTTTAGATTTTGTTTTCAAATATTTTTTGTATATTTGTAGATTCTTGATTCAATTGGAAATATGTTTGGAAGAAGTAACAGTGACAACGTCAAAACATCTAGTGGGCAAAATATTAGCTCCCTCATGACTGCTTGGGCATTCCTTTTGCTGACGAATTCTAATGGCCAATTAAATACTGGTCCTAGAAAGCAACGATTACAGCTTTATGAGCCTATTATTAAAACATCCAATTATCCCCTAGAAAAATTAGGAAACTTGCCAGTTGGGAAAATGTCAAGTTTAAGTATTTTGCAAAAGCATCAACTACTCGCAAACGCCAGCTTCAATTTATTGGAAAATAACGCAGTTGAATCGGGTTATCATTTGTTATCATGTTGGAAATCTGGAAGCCGATATAGAGTACCCTACCCTTCATCACTTTATGTAACCGTTAAGGAAACTGTTAGAAAAAAGTCTTTAGAAATGCATTCAGATGACAAAATGGTATGATTTAATAAATGTTTCTTAACTTTTAAGAGTATGACAATCTTAATATCGTAACTCATGGTTATTGAGAAATAATAACTTAAATATTCAAATTGTAGAATATGAACGTTTGAATGTGATTATGTCCCCTAATGGGTTCTTCTTGCCACACTCATCAAGAGTGTAGCAACGTGAGCTAGTGTATGTTTTTGCTAAGTAGTAGGTTGTTTATAACTAGCATATTTAAGCCACGTTAAGATGGACAGGTACTGAGGTGATTAATTATACAGCATGGAAGAATGAAAAAATGAAAGTTATTCAAAGTACAATTAATTATTTACAAGAAGCTTGAGAACTCTACTAATTATATTTACAAATATTTGCTAACATATGAACCATCTTAATCTCAAGTTTACAGTCAATAAGGCGTTCAAAAACGTAGTAGTATAATAATGGTGCATGAATATCACAAAACACGTCTTGTACAGTTGAATTCACCTGAATTTCTTGTTGATTTGTTGTTGAAAGTATCTGAATTAACCAAATACAGCGTCAACTGTGAAAGAGATAGTTTATTTAATACCTTCATGAATAAATGTCGTTCCCTAACGTGCAGCAAAACGGGTTATTTATTGCTGTCAATAATGTTTTTATTCTAATCGCTCAAGTGAGCACAACATGAATTTCACAGTTATGTATTCGCCAATAAATCTACTAAAATATAGATTATTGAGTATGCCTATCCTAAGTTTCTGTTTCTAAAGGCGGTAGCTCATCAGAATTATTTTTAATAAATAAATCTGTAAACCAAATTTGGAGTAGCATTCAATAAATATTATAATAATGTGTCTATGTGTGTATTACTCGTGCATAGGACTCAAATCAAAACATTTCTTTCCAAACAAAGCAGTCAGAAATCTTTGTGCAACCCAATATAAACACAAGAGAGTCAGCACAACATAAGATTTTACCGAAGAGTGAAAGTAGTGCTTTGAATGCTATGAGTGAAAATGAACTAAGTAAACTACAGAAGTCATGGACTAGAAAATCTCATCAACCATGTCGTATTCCAAACATACTTGTTGGCTATGGGGTAACAACATGTATAAAAACAGATGGTAATTTCGAGTTCTCACTAGATATGGAAACAAATAAAAGATATTGTACATCGACAAAATCTTCTGGAGCTCAGTGTTTGGCATTTTCGCCAGATGGTAAATGGTTAGCGGTTGGAGTTATACGAAATTTACTGCTGAATAATACAACTGCGACTCCTACGAAAAATAAAACAAATAGAATGGACTGTTCTGTTCTAATCTATAAGGTCAGCTATTCTTTTTAGCGCATAATTGAATTGTCAATCAAGGTTTTTTTGATAAGTAATTAATTTCTGTGGTAAAATACTGCAAATTGTTCAATATTTTAAACCAGTACACTTTCCAAAAGCATCAAATATGATAATCAGAAAAAATAAAAACTGGAGGATAAGGTTCAAAAAAAGGATAAATTTGAGAAATAAAACATACAATGTAATATCGAACCTATAGGCTTAGCAGGAGATTAAAAACGTAAACATCTGCATCACTGTAGCCGATTTCGAGCCATAACCTATAAATCATCTATAAATGATTATCTTAACAACAATATTCATTGCACTGAATTAACCAGTCTTTAACATAATGAAATACCCATATAAAAATACGATTTTTATTATTCATTTAATTTTACAAAAGCAAAACGATCTAATAAAAGGTCGATGCGATATTCATTTGTATGATAAAAATATAAAATTCAACAAACTTTGGTGTCATTTGGTAGTTAGTGTGAGGTAAGACGCAAGAATTCATTTTATAGGTTTTAATCATATGATTTTTTTGGAAAATGGTATGTGCCTTGCCTGTTAATTCCATGACAAATTCAATTAGTCAGTCTTTCTGTCCTGGAATATCATTGCTTCTAAAATAGAAAATTTAAGACAAGAAGAGAATAGGACCCCGAATAACTTTGCCACTGTAACTTCTCTTTTATTTATGCGATTTCCTTCAATTATTACTAATTTCATAATATACATAAAAGACATTTCACCTTACAGAAAATATTTGTTAACAGTGCATGAGAAAAGTCAATATAGTGAATGCGTCTAGGTAACTGGCTCATTCAAATTGGCTTATATAAAACCAGATAACCTTCGTAACTAGTGAACGTCTTCATTTTGTAATACTATTTTTCGTCAAACTTTTTATATTCATAAACTGTTTCTTTCCCAGTTAGTCAGCTTTATTTTTAATTTTCTTACAACTGCATATTTCTTTTCTCTTGTTGAAAAATAGTTCCCATTCGATAACAAACGGAGCCAGCCAAATTTAGAGCTAGCAGGACATTCAGATATAATCTATTCTATAGACTGGGCTAAAACTCCAGTGATCCAAAACCATAAAAATAAATCTACTCAAAAGTATTCCAGTAAAGATTTTTCTAATACAAAAATATTTTGGATTCTATCATCCGGTTCAGCTGATGGGACTGTGAGAGTATGGAGATTACATTTTAATCAAGTGTATGAAAATTTTACCAATGATCCTGATACTAATATATCTGTTCCATCTGATACATCAAAATCTCCATTTCAAGTTGGTCAAATCATTAACGGATCATCTCACAAGAAAGGTATTTTATGTAATGTGCTTGGTCATCCGAATTTCGTGTATAGCGTAGCATTTAAACCGATATCTAAAGAATTAGCTTTGAATGATTTTCAAGTTCTTCAAACTTTGATAAATCGAGATCATCTACTTGCAACAGCATGTTATGATCGTGTTATTCGTTTATGGAGTATTAAACACAATGAAACTCAAGTATTCATTTTTACATTTTTATATTATTTAACTGCGTTCTTTTATAACTTGAAAGATATTTTTTTCAGATGATTGAGTATGGGAATAGTACAAAATCTAAGTCATTAACTAAACGATTTTACAGTAATAATTACTATATTACATCATAAGTTTTCACTAACTTTCCAAAAAAATTCGTCTTATCAGTGAATATATATACTATCGACTTTTCGGCAGTAGTATATAAGATGGTCAGACATAGAATGTATTTCAGTAGAAGATCGAGAGTGAAAGAACAGGAACGTGAAGCAATTGGTATGAAAATGAATGAACAATGAAATCTGAGACGATGGACTGGTATTTTCAGAAGGAACAGTCAAGTTTGAGACAATCGATTGATATTTTGCAAATTTTTCATGAGATGTTCTGTAATTCTATGCTCAAATACATTAGATTGTCCTCACTCGTGTTCTTGTTTGCTACACTACATCAGTCATTAAAAGATGGCTGCACAATACCATGAATTAGCTTAAATTAAATTGTCTATCATTAGATTTCAGCTCAATGGTATAGAGACTAAGTATTTGAATGCGAGGTCGACGGTTCTGAGTTCGATTCATAGTGGCAGGCTTTCGGGTGCTGTTTTCTGAAGAGTCTCATACTAGAAAGAAACATCTGTCCAATGCCCTCAGGTTTCTGGCGGTAGTTTTTTTAAACTATGGAAATAATTTGACTAAATTTCCTTAATTATCTGTATTTCTGTATCTCAAGTCTATAGAAGTGAAATGTTACGATGAATTGACATTTGTCAAAACCAAATTTTTCCTCACTAACATTTATTCACTATGCTAAATAACTTCGTCAGTACTGGTTTTATTAAGCAATATGACCTCTAAATTTTGAAATAAATTGTTTTTTTCCGATGATAAATTAAGGTTTTCAATGCCGGTTAATGGACTGAATATAATGAATTTTTTTAATTTTATGTTGAAATATGAATTAGTCTGACTAGAATTGCACCAAATACAATAGATACTAAGAGATTTCCTACTAGAGGTAAATTAAGTCAGATCTTCCCCCTGCCTAATTCAGAAGTAACAATATCCTACTTTTTTATAAATACTCAATTTGTTACTTTAAACTTCGGTTCATTATTTTAAATTATTTAATTCAATGTGTACTTTTTTATTTGTCCCATTAATAAGTTACTACAAGAATTGAATGGAGTACACCAATCACATATAAATAGTTTAACATTTGATACGGATGGATCACGCATATACTCAGGTGATGCTTTAGGTCTGATTGTCATCTGGAAAGAAACAACTAATCAACAACAAAAACAAGTTAAATGTCAGTCCAAATGGATGTTTGAGAAAAAAATTGAAGTTCGAGAATTAGAAGTGAGTAAATTAATGTAAAATCCATCCATCCATCAATCAATCTATCTATCTATCTATTTATCTACCTATATATATATATAATTAACGTCTGAGCCAATTTCCTGTTTAAATCTACTTCCATACACATAGTTCCCTTTATTATCTTGAAGAGAGCAAGATTATTCTGCACCAATCTTCGTTCTTGCTCTCTTTAAATCTACTTTCCCCTGTATTTTGAATTCATAGAGATACTAACAACTTTTAGTAGTCGTTTATCTGACTTCAGTTGGATCGTATGAATGATTGCTATCTTCATGCATAATAGTGACACTCTTAGCGTGGATAATGCACAAGTTGGTATCCTCAAACAGTCCAACCAAGTATGCTACGCTAGCTTCTTGAAGAGCAGACACGGTGGAGCTCACGAATTGTAGGTTGGTTTCGAAGTCTTGAGAGATTTCTTGAACTAAACGCTGGAAAAGAAGCTTACGACTCAAAAGTTCAGTATTCTTTAGGTAACGATGGATTTCCTGGAGGGCAATAATCCCAGGTCTGTGTCTATGAGGCTTCTTCACGTCCCCGGTAGCCGAGGCGCTTTTCCGCGCAGTCTTAGTGGCCAGCTGCTTTCGAGACGCATGACCATTGGTTGGCTTGTCAGCAGTCTGTTAAGTTCGTGCCATTGCGAAACACAGAGAGACGATAACGATCAGTATACGATCTAACCGGACTTAAATAAAGGGTCATACTTAAAATGGTGAGCCCGATGCAGTTCAAACACGCAGCCTTCTGGTATGGAGTCAGATAGAGGGCCACTAAAAACTGTTACTGGTCGGATGATTGTTAAACTGTATTAAAGCAATTTATTTATACAAACATATCAATAATAATTACTTCATTACTAAGCTGTGGAGTAAATGTTGCAGTATTGACCGCTTAAAAATTCATGCTTATGAAAATTATTGGTAACTTCCATTGAAAGAAAGGCGACTTTAGTCTTTGAATGGATGGACAGTGTATTCAAGTTTAAGAGAATATTAAAGTGTTTTTATAACCAGCTGTCTAACACTGGCCGTTGGAATCCAAGTGCATCAACTATTAATAACCCTTTTAAAATGCTTTAGTTTTGAATATCTGTTCATCAAAACTTGCAATGCTACTGTACAACACCGTATACATTCCATTGGTGATTTTAAGAGAAAGAGAGGTTGAAGCTTTCACACAAGAATAATCATCTGTTAAACAAAATCTACTTTGTCAATAAAGATATTAGTGACAAAGTAAAATTTGGTTTGACAGATGTGACTTAATCCATTTAATATAAGTCAGTACAATATATTATGATTGATTCTACTCCATTAACAACTCCGGCTGGAGCCCCTCTGGAGCTACTGCCGGTCCCCAGCCCGGATAAAGGAGAAGGGTCGGGTATGGGGATAGCGACCCCATCCTGCAGAAAACAAACTCGCTAAAAAAACGCTAACCAGAGAAATTTATTCAAACAACTTAAACTCTGCCCTGGGAGTCAGAAGGTTTTCATTTGGAAGAATTATGACGCCTCATGGTGAAAGCCGACTTCCTTCAGAAGCCACGAGGCTGATGCCCTTTTGATAACCAGAGCAACCCTTTATTTAGGTACATGGAATGCTCGTACAATGTGGGAGACTGGGAGAGTTTTCCGAATTGCTGCAGAAACGAGCAGATACCACTTGGAGGTGCTTGGGATCAGTGAAACACATTGGACGCAAGTTGGATCTTGTATCATCCAGAAGATACAAGTGTTTATTAACAATTGTCTACGCAAAATACGTCGGATCCGTTGGCTGGACACTATCAGCAACAATCAACTGTGGGAGAGAACAAACCAGGTTTTAATGGAAGAAGAAATCAGGAAGAAGCGTTGGAAGTGAATAGGACACACATTGAGGATAGCACCCAACTGCGTCACAAGGCAAGACCTCACATGGAATCCTCAAGGCAAAATGAAAAGAAGAAGACCAAAGAACACACCATGTCGATAAACGGAGAGAGACATGAGAAAAATGAACAAAAATTAGATAGAACTGGAAAGGAAGGCCCAGGACAGAGTGGGTTGGAGAGTGCTGGTCGATGGCCTATGCTCCATTAGGAGTAACAGGCGTAAGTAAGTATTCCATTAACAATCATAATGTATACTAATCACTGAAAATAACATGAAGCAAAACATTAAGTATAAATTTCTATTTCACTCAAACCTTAAGTTTATAACTCTATCCTTCCTCTACAAGTAAAAAAGAAACAAGATCACTGACAATTCCGTCAGTATTGTGATATGTTTATATAATAATGGACACATTTTTAAGTATAATCAGTAATCTCCAGTTCGAGTTGTATAATTTTATTAAGAGTTTAATGTAACTGATATTTAAGACATTTATACTTTTTGTATACAACTAAGTGCATAAACAGTGGTATTTCACTCGATTACAATTCATATGTATAATACCAAATACAATATTTCATGAATCATATCTTGAAAAATATACCTAAAACACCGTTTCATCATAAAGATTCAAAAGTGGAATATTTTATATGAAAATACTAATTCTCAACTGAAACATGACTAATTAAAATGCTTTCGGTAAACAGATCTTTTACATTAGTGAATTACAAGACATTTGTGTACTTGAAAAAAAAGAAAGTCTACTCTAAGACAGACTTATCAAAAACAATAAGCCAAACATAAACTATTGAATAAAGATAAACGATAATGTTAACTATCTTTAAATGAATTTTTTAAGCAAAGATTGGTAGTGGCTAGCAGGACGCGCGTCTCGTCCTATTTGAGACTCGTCAGCTGGGTGTACCTTCATCCCAGAGTTGATGTTCACTCCCGGACTCGAACCCAGTACCGTTTGCTTCTGTTATGACTTGTGGCCTGAGTGCCCTGTTAATGTATAACGTAACGATACCGCCAATTAGAAAGCAGTGACTTATTGATCGGATCAATGACGCGTAAATCCGTATGAGCAGTTTAGAATCCTTATTGGTCTAGCTTCCTGTCTAGCCCAGCCAGTTAAGTCCAGAACACCAATCCGAGCCTCTGAAATATGAATCATGCATTTCAAACATACTCGGTTTATATACCAATCAAACAGACCACATCGTACCGTAAAATAGAAAATAACATTTGTACAATGTATGGCCAAAAGTTGCTGTGAATTTGGGAGGCAATGACTAATAAACAGGGCATAATTCAAGAATGGTAAAACGTATAATAGTGGTTCATAGGTCAAAATAAAGCTTATAATAAGAGCAATATGAATATGAATAGTTTAGTTATTTAACAATTATACGATAAAAATATGCGTTTATTATTGGTCTATAAATGGATCGCAAAGTTACCATTCATTATGCTTATCGGGACCTAACAGCTTCAAGCGCCATCGCGTTATCCACTTACCTACTGAGTCCTGATAGCCACCTGCTTGTGCGATGGGGCGAAGTTTAACTTCACTTGGTTTTGTTTAACTTGTATCTTTCCTTTTTTATTTATGCCAACATGAGACTGATCAACTGCAGTCCTAAATAACAATTGAAAGATACAAGTAAAACAACACCAAATGGACTTAAATTATTTATAATTTTGTAATTTACATCATTTAATTTCGAGATATGTTAATATAATACAATCTCAATGATAAGCATTTGTCTGATGAACCGTAATCTATGTAAATCTTTAAAATTAAAGCATCATAATAGCTTTGCTATTCAACCTGAAAGAAATTCGTATAAATAATTAAAAGAATTAGGTAAAAGTAAGTTATTGTAATTCAATCTCCATTACATTTTCAATAAATTTTTGTTTTGGTAGTTCTCCTCGTTTGTCAAAGTGATAAAGTGGTAATGGTGTAGAACAATTTTTTTTTAAAAAACATTCCTTTTTGAATTTTAATGTTTTAATGTAAGTAAACTGAAAATCTCAAACTCCACGAGATAGGAGAATGAAATTTGTTGAACTTTGAATAATTAAAAGTAATCAATAAAAATTGTAACGTTAATTCGTTCACAATTTTATTTTCCAATGACCGATAGATATCTTGTAGTAATATCTTTCTATTGTAAAGGAATCAAGAGTTTTAAAAATATATTATAATTTATATTTTCTGAACATATTGAATTAGATAGGACAATTACAATAGAAGTAATATTGCTTGAACGCATTTTCTATAGATACATTTATTTTTGTTTAATGTTGCAATGACGATTAAATACTTTTATCAGAAGGGGATGTTGTGGAGATTTTAGTAATTTAACGATTGAATTCATGAGTCATTTAAAGCTAGACTGTCATGGAAAACCTGGAAGAAATGGACGGCCGTCTCGTCCTAGTATGGGACTCAGCAGTGTGCATCCACTGATAGGTCCTGGGTTCTAATCTCGAGGGTTAAATGCACACTGTTGAAGAGTCCTATACTACGACGAAACGGTCGTTCATTGCTTCCAGGTTTTCCATGGTGGTTTGGCTTTAATTGACTCATAAATTCAACTAATAGACTAAATATTTGTTTTTTTTAAATATTTTATCACATCATCTTTGTTTATCACAAAATTTTCTTTTCATTTTATAATCTAAAATCTTTTATTTTGATGTTTATAGATGTGTATAATCAATCATTTAGAGTTTCATCCTACACTCAATCTTTTACTCGTACACACAAGGGATAACTGTCCAAAAATGCTTGATTTAAGATCGTAAGTTATTTAATCATAAGAATCGAACCATCTGTAACATTTAAACTATTTTGATACGGATCATTTGATGCTAACCTTTTGTTGTTTTCCCGATAGTTTAGTTGGTTTTTTAGTACATTCATTACTTTTCAGAATGTTTTAGACTGATATTCAGTAAATAGCCGTTTATAACGCTTTAATTGATAAAAAAGCGTTGATAATTGAATATTCGTTACACATTTTCACACTGTCGTTGATAAACAAGATTTATTAATTTCAAAATAGTATAACAGTTATAATCAAGTATTAAGTCGAAAGTACTAATTTCTAACAGAATATAATAATTTTAATAGTTGAGATGACGAGCCAATTGAAACTAGACCATCATGGAAAACCTGGAAGCACTAGGTGGTCGTTTTGTCCTATTGTGGGACTCCTCATCAGTGAGCATCCACGATCCCACCTCGCGAGATTCTAGTCCAGGACCCATCGGTCTCGAACGCTTAACATTTCGACCACTGAGCCGGCATCCAACAGTATTAAGTTCTAGCTTCAACTAATCCACGAAATCAAGCGACACATCAACCATTGTCATCAGTGAATTACTATCTCACAGTAGACCCGGTTGAACTCCACTGGTCACTGCTTCTCACTATGACATCTTTAGTTGTGTTGTAATATTACCTTACAAAAATTTCCCAACAAAAAATCTTTTCGGTATTAATATATATATATATATATATATATATATATATATGTATATATGTATATATATATATATTACAACACGACTAACGATGTCATAGAAATAGGTTACACGGTTGACCATAAAATTGACAAGGATTCCTGAAGTTCTACTGAAAAGCTGAGACCAGTAGAGTTTAACTATATCTCGAGTAAGACAGGTCTCACTTTTCCCATTAGAGAGTGTTGTACTGTTTCAAAAACCGATTAAACTTTAAAATATATCTCACTGGGTATTTTATTCTGTTTTAAATTCGTATCCTGAAATGAACTAAACCTTCAAGTGCCCGCTAGTTTTAGTAATTATCTAGTCAAAGTTAATTTGCTGTGTAATCGACAAACTAAATAACATACACAAACCTTCTTTGTTTGTTGAAGTATTTCTATTTTTCTGTTTACTGTTTCATTATCCTAAGGACTTTTATTACACTTGAAATTCTCTATATCAATACACGTAAATATTTTGTTTACCTGTAATAATTCATTACTCCATACATTCTATACATTCTTCTCATTAATAATTACTTAGAACTATCTGTACTACTGTAAGAATGAACCCACTGCTAGAAACATCGTTCTTAAATTAACTGTCCTATGACCTTGAGAACATAGTTCAAATTAGTGAAATTAAAAAACTTTTTATACTTTGTGCTAATGCTTATTCGATTCATAAAAAAATTGACATTTTTTTATTTTCAGAGAAGGATTTTTGTGGATATTATAGTTGAATTCATGGGTCAATTGAAGCTAGGCCACCATGGAAAACCTGAAAGCACTGGACGGCCGTTTCATCTAGCTTTAATCGACTCATGAATTCGACCACTAAATTACTATAATATCCACAAAAACCCCTCTCTGATTATAATCATCATAGGCTCACTAGTGATTGTCACCAAGAGGTATTTCCTGAAGTTCTAGTGAGAAGCCGTGACCAATCGAGGTCAACCGGATCTGTTGTGAGATAGTAACTCAGTGAAGACAATGGTGAAGGTGACGCAACTTCGCGGATTGGTTGAAGTTAGACATTAACACCGTTAGATGACGGCTCAGCGGTCTAGTGGTTCACCGCTCGCACGCGAAACAGACAGGTCCTGAGTTTGAATCTAGCGATGCGGGGTGGTGGATGTTCACTACTGAGGAGTCCCATACTAGGACGAAACGGCCATCCAAAGCTTCCAGGTTTTCCATGGTAGTCTAGCTTCAATTGACTCATGAATGCACTTATTAAATTTTTTTCTAGAAATTTTATCACAACAAGATTTCATGGGGCTTTGAATAATACTGAATTATTACGTAGTTGTATTTCACCATGTGGTTCATTCTTATTTTCTGGTTCCGAAGATCAAAATGTTTATGTGTGGAATGTCAATACAGGTGAGAAGTAAATAACTGATTATTTACTTGCATTATATTGAAATGTTTTTGAAAAGCTTATAAATATTGACTAAATATAGATATTCTAGTTTTTTAAGGCATCCAATAGATAGTATAAATTGCGTTCATTCTGTTTCTTTAATCCAGATCCTTTTAGTTAAAATATGTTCAGTGAATTATTATTTAGCATGTTGTTTGTTTATTCTTATTTCTCTGAATCTAACACTATAGCTTACTATCAAACGGTTATAAACTTACTTGTGCAATCGAGCTATCTTACCATACCGTATCATATTTCAAATTTTTATAGTTACATTTTAAACTTTTTACTAGATTGGAAGGATTCAGATTTTAGTTGGAATGATTAATAATCAAACGTTGAAATTCTCTTTAATGATTTTACAGGTAGTTTCCGACAAAAAGCATAAGATTTCGTTTTGAACCCTTCTAGTCTTTTTTTTATTGGACAAAATATTAGATTATATTGGTAGGAACTTTCAAGTATATAATTAGAAATCGAAATGATATCATCACAAATGTTTTTTTAGTTCAATAAATTTACAGGTTCATTGACAAAAATCATTAAACCCAGAACTTATTCTTATTGTTAACCAACCTTATATCTACCCAGCAACATGGATAACATATTATACTGTGGACAATTATAGTAGTTTAGGCTCTTCACATTACTTTGTTGTGTTCAATCGTACGTTTCCAAAATATTCAATTATTTGCCAGTCTCAGTGATATACTACATTTTTTGAATCCTCAAGTGATTATTCAATGGTTGTCTTGTGATTTAATAATGAGCTAATAAAACTTATAACTTCATGACTTAGAATGCAATTTTGGTTATACAACATCAAAATGATGATATCTGAAAATCTTACCCCAATTTCAACAAAGTTTAAATTTTATGCTTGGGAAGTACTCATAATAAAATTTATTTTTAGATTTCAAGTACATATAATGAAAGTAATTGTTGTATCAATTTATTGTTAATTCTAAATAGATAGGCAAGTAAGTGCAATATAGCTCTAAAATGTGTTTTTTTTAATTAAAGAAAGTAGGACCTGCCAGTTTCCATATATTTGAATAGTTTCAATCAGATTTTTTTCTCATTAGACAAAAATAGTGTTTAGTAGATGGTTTATGATATAAACTGGATTAACTTGATTACCATACTGAGTCCTGGGATATTGAGTACCTGGTCTATTTCGATTTGTGATTGCTCAGCAATACATATTTATGCTAAATTTAGGCGAACCTAAAACCTACAAAATGCTAGGATGCAATAACAATTTGGTAGTCTTTTTTCGATATCTCTCTAATTAAAAACAATTTGTGTCGAAAACTGTAATCTTCTTTTCTAAGTAAAGATATAAAAGCTTAGATATCCAAATAGTATGATGAACCATAGTTGTATTACAGTATTATTAACCCTAAAAGCAGAACAAAATTTTCCGACTTTATAAAATTTCAATAATGTTTTGTAATTTTAAAAACGTAATAGATAAGATCAGAAAAATCAGCGTTCATTAAACAAAGAAGCGTATACTAGTAAAATACAAAGAATACAGTGTGAATAAACATGAAGAATCCATATACAGTATTCACGAATTCATGTAATTGACCATATCTGTAATTTAACTGATCATTTGTGCATTGTTTCATTTAAACAGCTTTCTTCAACCTGTACCACTGATATGATGTTACCTATTTACTTACGCCCGTTACCCCTCGTAGAGGAGCATAGGCCGCCCTCCAGCATTTTCCATCAAACTCTGTCCTGAGCAGTCCTGTCCAGTTGTTTCCAACTGTTGTTCAGTCTTTTGATGTCTACTACCGATTTCCGGCTTACTATGTTCCTTGGACTTCCTCTTTTCCTGTCCCCTTCAGCAAGGTGTATCGGTAATCTTAAAGGGATATGTGCACATCATGTAATTCCATCAGATATGAATAAGTAAAACTAAACTCCTAGTGCCACACTGACCTTCTATAGAACTAAAATATTTACATCAAAAGCAGTCAATTCAAGTCAGTTAAGCTAATGATCACATCGTAATCTGTTCAATGGGCTTCCATAAACAAACACTAAGACCTAGACAAACATGACATTGTTTACTAATCACTGATCAATTAGTGTATACATCGTACACAATGTAGATCGATAATTTTAGCACCATCTGGTTATAATACACCAATTCATTTTTTAGGTGATCAAGTTGCATGTTATCAAAATTTACAATTGCCAGGATCTGTCACTTCAATAAGTTATCATCCTAAGGATAATGTGATAGCTTTTGCCGCCGTTGGACCAGACTCACCAATTGCTATATACGCATACAATATAAAAGGTAAGTATAAAAAGTAATTAGTGGAATAAAGATCGCTTATTTATTGCAGCGCTTGTAGAACAGTTCGACATGAAATACAAAAAAAGATGTACTAATTTAGCTTGACAATATACAAAATAGAAAAAGAGCAACCATGAAGTGAAGCCATATGAATCACATGACTGACAATCTTCCCTAATGTATTGGTTGTGTTTTAACGATCAATATCCAGAAATGTTTATTTTTCGGTTTACCACAAGTCAACATCTAGCAAGTTTGTGTCTTAATAAATGCTATTCATAATACATTTGAATCTTGAAAGTTAAGAACGAACAAATCCATGCAATACTTAGTGCTCTGTAATCGATTTGCAACAATTTTAAATTTTTCCCCCTCAGATTCCTTCATAATATAATCCAACTTTTTCTGCTATTCTAAATGCTCTTGTATCCTTGCCTCAAATATTACTTTCTTCAGTAACGATTGTAAAATAGGTTTACCTGTTAGAACTAATTAACAGACATTACTTTTAAAGTAAAAATATCTTAGACAAAGATTGTTTTTCTTCTCTTTTTGATGACTAAAAAGTCAAACAAAATTAGTAGTATAAAAATATAAAATGTCAGTCATTTAAAAATAAAGTTAAATCTTTATACAACTTAAAAAAAGAATAATTAAATATTGTATACAAGACGTTTACTGAGATCCTAATTACCATTCGAAGTAAACAAATTCATGTTAATCTTTGAAAACGAACATTTGCTGAATACACAAGCTTATACTGATGTATATATTTGCTTTTTCTCATCATTATACATGAAATTAGTCATCTCTGAAGTATCTGTTAAGTGACGTCTGTAGCTGGAACTTTTTAAAGAGGTTGTAGAGCAATCGTGGTTCAGTCATTCTTGTGTGTCACCTCACACTGTTCATAGTATTATTATGTAGTTTCACTTCAATTATCGACATAAATATTAAAAATAAATGGAGTTACATTAATTTACTTTTCGATCACATCTTTTGTTTCACTGTTTGATCAAAGGAATACGTGTTCATTATTATTTTCCTTTAACTATATATGCACAATCATTATATATATACTAAATAACGACTAATGTTTCGGTATCTAATTCATATAGCTAACCAAATTCTGTCAACCAAGGTGTAGTGCCGCCACGATGATGTACACTTTATTTGATCCCAGACATTTTATGCCTTTTGTACCCAACCTAGAGATTAGTTTCTTACACGTTGTCACTGAACAGCATGATATGTCTTTAGTATTTCGGGAAGTGATTCATTTTTTGAACATCTTTGTCCCCCCTGGTGTTTTGTGACTCATTTGGTTTAATATTAACGACTATAACTGTGACATAGAATAGAACTGCATATCAAGTGTCTTTTCCATCGAAACTGCAGAAAGGCGTTACTGAGGAATGAAAAATAGGTCAAACATTTAGTTTATGTCTGTCTTACCTGGTACTTTTAACAACTTAAATCATTTCATCTTTATATCAGGAGATCCTCTTTTGTGAAACTATGAGCGTATGTAAACGAAAATCATACTTATTTTATAAATTTTAAGTGGTCTTCACTTTTCTAGGTTCTCAACTGTTGTCTAACTTACATCGCTTCGTGATTTTAATGATCTTCACTGTTAACTTATTCCATGGTATCGCAAATTATTATTATCATTTACTTCTTTTGTCTATTCCAATAGCTAATCAGTTGGCAACATTATCTCAAGAAATAAATAAAGAAAAACTGCCATTTTATGAAGAGGAATTGAAGTAGGAACATTTTTGTTCACAAATTCATTACATTAAACCAACTTTTGACCCTTACACATTGTAGTGGCTTTGCTCCTTTAATCGATCACCTCAATAACCATTATAATATAAAACCCAGCGGTGTTTAGAATCAGAAGGCAGTGAGAAGCGGCAACTGCAGTTTATTACCGGATAGAGATCACAAAGCACTAAGCACATCAAGCGAATTTGAACCAGAAGCGAATACCTATATGCAAGCAATTACATAGGCAAATTTATGCTCGAATTGCATAAGGGTGAAGCAAGGCAAAGCAAAGGCTAATAATAGGATTTGAGTGCATATATACATGCTCCCAAATGCACTAGTACCACCGAGAGTGGGGAAAGTCAACTCTCACCCTCAAAATGCTCTCACATGGCCACGCGTATACGGTCATTGCTAGAGAAGTCCTACTCACTGCCTTCTCGTGGCATTACCGTTGTTTACGCAATTGAAAGGACGAAAAGCGAATGTTTGGCGCTTTAGCCCGGTTGGCGGATATGGAGGATCCACCTAGAGGATGTAGAAAACCCTAATTCCAAACCAATGGTGCACATGGACTCCAGGATCTTAAGGAAGAAAATGGCGTATGATCCAATTGTTGGTCACCGGCTGCCATGGGACTGTATCTCCTTACGTTGCTTCACGTCCTTGTGGATTAGACCTTTAGGTCGAATGCTCGGGGTGTGGTTCCCTAGGAAAACCACCCGCTTCGGTTTGGGCACCCGGGCACTATCCTAGCCCTCATACAAATCGAACGATTTATGTGGCGCATATTCATTTGGTGCCTTCTTGTACCTATGCTTATGTGTTTAAATAAACAAAAAAATAAACATGCATACATTGGGAGGAGAATAAATTGTCGAGTGATATTTAAGCAATCAACGTTTTAGTTAGTCTGTCATATGATCTAGTAATCATAACGGTACAAAGAAATATGCGAATTGTTACTGTTTAAATAACATTTTCTGTTACGTAATTTAATAAAATGGCTTAACCAAAATTAACTATGATCGAAATTGGTTGTATGATAGTTGCTATAACATAATATCCATACATAGTATAAATTGTTTATTTTTGTATATATTTCATCAAATAAAATTCATGAAGTTTCATTTACTCTAGTTGATTCCAGTTGATGAGCAAAAACTTTATAACTAATGATAATTCTCAATAATCTGAAGCATTATTCTTTTACTATCACAGTTTATAATCACTTTATTTTCATACTAAAATGTATGAGTCTCTCAAAAGTGAATGAACTCGTAACAGGTAAAATTCCATTTCCATGTAAATTCTTATTTGTTACACCTTAACAAACCTTAAGAATATTTGTAATAAAAAACCCATTTGATTTAAATGTGACAAAGTATTTATCGTATCTGAAATTTATGTAAGAGAAATTTGGGTGAGACTATAATTTTTGGGCAACGTTTTAGCGACGCTAGACTGACCATGAGTGTCCACCTAATAACCAGGACCAAATGAGGGTTATAAGCCTGTGTGAGGAATTAGAATTACGATCGACAGTTAATGATTAAGGTCAGAAATTAGATTTAAGGTCAGCTATAGTACCAAAGCTCTACCCGAATGGATGAGTGACCTTCACGCCAAAATCCAAGACCTGTTATCTTCTACGTGATTGATTCGTTCATAAATTATGGTCTCACCGGTTTACTCCACATAACATCATCTTTGAAGGAATTTCTGTTTAAATCTTTGCGATTTATATTCTCACTTAACTAATTGGTTTGTGAAAACATTTTTTTAATCTGACTCTTTGCCTAACAATTATGTTCAAGTGAAAAATAATGAGTAAATTTAACTATGAGTTTGTCTAACTTATTCGACCAGTTAAAAATGGTTTCCATTTGTTTTAACATTATTTAGCTACATTGAACAACCACCTGATATTCTTGCATCTCATGTCAAGTTTAAACAACGTGATGTTGAACGAGTATTACTTGCAATGTCTAAACTAGATAGTGTTCTGGTTAGTTTTCATTGAATAATATTTACGATTACTATGAAAACGTTTTACAACATTTAACTCACTTATTAACAAAGATTTTGTCAAACTAAATGTAATTTTTGATTATCGATTAAATATACGAAAGCACTGAACTACTTTCACTTGATATTGTTTGGCTTGTATCTTCCCATTGAGGTTTAACACTGCAATTGATCAGTCTGTTATTGGCATATGTGCATACTGTGCGTATGCCTCGATATTGCCTGAATTCACAAGCTATTTGTAAGCAATGATGGATAGTGGCTAGCAGTGGAATCTAGGACGCGCGTTCCATCCGACTTGGGGTTCGTCAGCTGGATGTACCCGCATCTCAAAGTTGATGTTCACTCTGGGACTCGAATTTAAATTCACTTGGTATTGTTTGGCTTGTATCTTCACCCCATTGCACAAGCAAGTGGCTATCAGGACTCAGTAGCTGAGTGGATAACGCGATCGCGTTTGAAGCGAATGATACTGAGTTCGAGTCCCAGAGTGAACATCAACTCTGAGATGCGGGTACATCCAGCTGACGAGCCCCAAATAGGAGGAAACGCGCGTCCTGGATTCCACTGCTAGCCACTGCCCATCATTGCTTACAAAAAGCAATGAACCACTGTTTATATTACTTTAAGGATTCTTAGTTCCAGATAATCAATACCCCTTATTCTATGGAGCCCGTAGATTATATGTTTTCCTATGAGTATAATATTTTTCAATTTTAGAGTCAAAATTTAATCATATTCATTTTTCAACTTCAGTCTTATAGCTTAATTATGATTTAATGCTATCTACGGGTAATCGCTTCACTCAAAATCTGCTGAAGATTTAAGCCATTCTCCTCGAAGCATATTCTCACTGCTGAAAGGTCCTAAATTAGGATTACCGTCATTGCTACTTTGTCCAACAATACATTCAATCAAATTATATATGTAATCAGTGACAACAAAATTTACATGTGATGAGGAATTTTAAGTCACTAATCTATAATTCTATAAATTTATGAAAATACTCAAGTAGTTTATTTTAATTTTTTTAAGCTGATGTGTTTCTGAAAATTAAAGCCCGAAAGCTTTTGAGTTCGAATTGATCAATCCGATTAAAAATGACCATTTCATACTGTCGTCAGATAATCGAAATTTACATTAACTTGAAATATTTAAATGATTTACAAGTTATCATTAGTATATGATTGAGTTTGTATTCAGTTATCTGTGTTATGGTTAGGGTCTTACAAGTCGTTTTATTGTTTTTTGAAGATGATAGGTTGGTTCTTAATGGACTGTTTATTTATAATATAGTTTATGCACTTTCGAATACTTCATAATATACTGGGTCAAATTTTGTTGTTAATTTACTATGGTTCGTACTAGTTTTTTTGTTCGGGAACTTCTAATATGTTGTTCAGTTTGGTATTTTGGATAGATTTTAAATTCACTGATATATTTGTTGGGAGAAAAATTATCTTTATGGACTAATTCACACCGAAGACGCATTTTTTATTATTTAAAATACAAATTCGAAATGATCGATAAGCATTATTTATTATTAGAAGATACAGATATTTTTCTCTCCAATCTCGTATATTTTTTTTTACTGAATTTCGGCACGTATAAGTTCCTCATCTGTAATTTACTAACTCGTGTTTCCTATGATGCCGGCATAGTATCCATCTTTGTCCCATAAGGTCATTGTGCTAATAAGTAGTTCAGGTTCTAGGACTTAATCGCTGTGAAATTTCGCTTTTAAAGACAGATGATATACACGAGTTGTTATTACATAATGTTGTGTCTTCAAAGCATTTGTGCAGTATGACACAATCAGTTATTGAATATTTTTATGTTACAGTACATAGTCCTAGGCGGAATCAGCAATGACTTTGTGAACTCGTATCAACTAAAGTAATTCAGACGACTGTTTTGTCTTCCCAGTTATCACCTGCCCTTAGGTATCATGCTGGTTACTATAGGGAGGTTAAAAGACAAAACATGCCACTGGTCTACTAATTCCACTGATTGTTGAAATGATCAATGTCAAAAAGTGAAGACTTGTAGATTGAGGTAACCGATATTACTCTTGATTGTCCTACAAATTGTAGGTTTTTAAACTGTAGCTAACTTTTTATTTGGTGACACTATACATTACTTTCGAACCATATTTTCTCTGTTTAGCTTATTACTTCCATGAGTAATACTACTTAATTTCATGCACTTCCGATCGTGTTGACTTTACTTTATAATATTTCAATGTAAAGTGATGCATATTTTTTCACGTTTCTAAGCTGTTTGTAACAGCCTTAGGGACCCAACAAATTGAGAGTGACAAATATCAGCAGTTAGATTTATTTTTCTGAATTAGAAACAGACTACTTCATTGAAAGTACATTATACTTTTGGTTTATTTAAACATGAGCACTGTTTTGTTGATTGATAGTTTATATTTTTTGTTTATATTTTCTTTGATAGAACGTTTCCAAACCCTTAGCAAGATATCCTCAAAACAATTTACATGAATTAGTAAGTAAAACATTTATATATCTATATGTATTGTGAAAAGCAAATAATGTAGGTGCTTAATTGAGATTTTCTATAGTTTGTAGGTTACTTTTACAAAGGACTGACAGCAGCTATAAAACCAATGAACATCAAAACATATTGAATTACCTTTCATTTAAGCATAAAACACCTTAGAAATATCAACTCATCATAAAATTGAACTCAACACCCTTTCTCACAGCGAGCTCGATAACTATGAAATATTGTGTTAAAATCTAGCGGTCAATTTAAAATGTAACACGATCATTTAATATCATTCATTAATTATTATTTCTCTTAAACTTGGTTAACTCTCTGATTTAAGTTTCAACAATTAGATGTAAAGTGCCAGTCCTTTACTGACCAGTACCTTAGGCCCTTACATAATATGTTTTAGCCTTGTATGTAAACGTACTAAACTACGGGAATGTGTTGCATTTTGTTACTTGAGCTATCATTTTTCTAAATAAAATATCTATCATATACTCTGCTATAATTTAGTTATGACATTCTGTGAAACGTAACAGACTTTATTATGAATGATACTTAATTCACTATACATCAACTGTGAATGTGATTCTTACACTTCAAAGTTAATCATTTAGCACTGAATTCTGAAAACTGATTTATTTATTTATTTATTTATTTCAACACATAAATATTGGTACAAGGAGGCACCAAATATATATGCGCCACACAAAACAATGATAATTTGAAGAGAAGGAGAAAAGAAAAAAAAAAAGTAATGAACGTGGGGAATTATAAAAAAAAAAGAGAGAGAGAGAGAACAATGGTGGGGGAAACGGAAAGGTACAATCAGAACAGATCTTTCAATTAAGGAAGATATAACCGCTTTCTATGAAGAAAGTAAGAGGTTACAGCACGATCGCCACTGGCTTCTATTCTTAGCCATATCTGATAACGTCTCTAGCCACTGCGTTACACCGTCTCTCGGACCCCAACCAGGGAGTCGTGAAGGACCAACATAAGCCAGCCCTTTGCAGCTTTCTTTTATACCACGACACCATGTCATATACTGACCACCTCTCCGCTTTTTCCAACCAGTCCCAGAGTCGGCAAATAATGCACGACGAGGAATTCCCTGGGACGACATTCGTAGAACATGTCCAAGCCACCGAAGTCGGTGTTTCAAGATGGTGACACCAATGGAATTATCGTCTCTGTGACCGAACACTCGACGTCGAACCTCTGCATTACTGACATGGTGTTGCCACTGGATGCCAGCAATCCTTCGGAGACAACGATGATCGAACACAGAGAGTCGTCTAACATCCTCAACTCGGAGAGGCCAGGTTTCACAAGCATAGAGCAAAACTGCTCTCACCGACGCGTTGTAGATCCGACCTTTTACAGCCAGACTAACATCACGAAGGCGCCAAAGATGGCCCAGATTGGCATAAGCCGCTCTGGCTTTCACTATACGAGCATTGATCTCATCACTCACACCACCACCAGCACTTATGCAGCTACCCAGATACACGAACTTCTCGACTACTTCAATCTGCTCACCATCCAGAGTGAGTACAGGATTAGAATCCTGCCAGTCTTGTAGAAGTACTTTGCACTTCGAAGGTGCAAAGCACATACCATACCTACGGACACTGATTGCCAACTGATTAAGTGCGGATTGCATAGCTTGGGCATTCTCGCACAGTAAGACAATATCATCCGCATACTCAAGGTCGAGAAGTCTTTCTCCAGGTAACAGATCCACACCACCATTACTTACATCCATCAGAGCTGTTTCCAGAATGTCATCGATGGCAAAGTTGAAGAGGAATGGTGAGATTGGGCAACCCTGCCTAACCCCACTGCTTGAATGGAATAGTGGAGAAAGGTGGTTGTATGCCCTCACTCTGCCTGAGGTGTTTCTGTATAGGGCTTTTAGGATGTTAATAAACTTCTCAGACACACCCTTCTTCAATAGACAATCCCAGAGAACAGTTCTGTCCAACGAATCGAAGGCAGCCCTGATATCAAGAAACAATACGATTGTTGGCCTTTGATAAGTATGGCGATGTTCTAACACTTGGCGGAGGGTGAAGATATGATCAATACATCCTCGACCGGAACGAAACCCAGCCTGCTCCTCGCGAGTCAATCCTTCTCGGGTTCTGAACAACCTACGAAGTATGACGGAAGCCAATAGCTTGGACGCAATCGGAAGTAGACTTATCCCCCGATAGTTGTTACAGGAACAACGTGAACCCTTTTTAAAGATAGGGACAACTATCGACTCATTCCATGACGTTGGTACACACTCTAGTTCCCAGATCTTTGTAAACAACGTCGTCAGTCCCTTAGTCAGAAAGTCACCACCATCTTTAAAAAGAGCCGGAGGTAAGTCGTCTGGGTCCGGTGATTTGTAACGTTTCAAGAGTTGGAGTTCCTTGCGGACTTCCGCCTCATTTGGTGGATCAGTCGTCACCGGCCATGGAGGGCAGGACAGTCTGACCGATGTTGCCGGAGCAGCAGGCCAGTTGAACTGCCCTTCAAAGAATTCTGCCCATCGTCCAAGACGTCGATGGATGTTAGTGATTGGCGTTCCGTCATCCTCGCAGATTGTTTCGCTCACACCAAACTTCTTGCTGCCAGTGGCTCGGATGAGTTGGAAGAGCTTCCGGTAATTACCAGATGCAGCTGCTGCTTCCAACTCACTGGCACGCTCCGACCACCAGGCTTCTCGGTCCTTACGCAAGCTTTGCCCGATTTCATTACGTAACATCCTCCGTCTGTGGTCAAACTCACGGTCACCCGGAGTAGACCGACGGGCTTCAATCAGTTGTAAGGAACCAGAAGAAACCCAGTGCTTGTAAGCGGGACGTTTCGCAAACCCACAACAGACTGTACCCGCCATTTTCATGGCGTCATGCAATTGCAACCAATGCTCATCTATACTTTTCGGTGGAATGGTAGCTAGCCTAGAAGCTAGCTCGGTTCGGTACTTACTAGCAACAGAAGTTGCAGCCAGCTTGCTAACATCAATCCTTTGGTGGCGGTCACTTCGTTGTCCACTGAAAAGTAAGGTAAGATTGGCGCAGACCAGAGCATGATCAGATTCCAGATAGGTACTCCAAAAGGAGCGGCAGTCTTGTACACAACCGCGCCAGCGGTAGCTGATCGCGATGTGATCAATCTGAGTCCAGGCTTGAGATGCAGAAGGAGGACGCCAGGTGGCACATCGGCGATGACTGTGCCGAAAGTTAGTGCTAGCCAGAAACAGGTTGTGGTCTGTGCATAGTTGCAGTAGACGTTCCCCGTTATCTGTCCTGCGACCAACGAGTCCCCATCGGCCACCTAAACGACTCTCTTCTGTGCCTAGACGCCCGACCTGAGCATTCAAGTCTCCAGCTAGTACTACAATATCTGTCGAGCGCACTTTCTGGAGAAGAACAGTTAACTGGTGGTAGAATTCATCCTTGATTGCATCCGGACTGCAATCTATCGGGGCATAGGCGGAGATGACGAAAAGACATCGTTTCTCGCGCCGATTTCTTCTCACTTTGATGGAACTTTCTAATCTAACAGCACATAACCGACTGTTAATGGGGATCCAGTCGACTAGTGCTGCCTCAGCTCTAGCGCTTAGTGCGACACCAATGCCAGTAAGACCAGACGAAGATGCCACAGGATCCGCGGATAAACGCACATAAAAGAAGCTTTTTCAAGTGACAGATGGAGAGCGAACTTGTAGTACTTCACCAGAGTCTTGAACACGGGTCTCGGATAGACAACACACATCAATATTAAGACTTTCCAAAGACATAGCCAGTCCTATCTGTTGTCCGACCTGCATAAGTGTGCGAACGTTGAAGGTAGCCAGTTTGAATGGTGCACGCGGTTTCAGAAAGACTGCTTCAGTACTCATGTTCGGTAGTAACATACAATTTTCAACCAAGCAGTGACTCGGGAACGGTTAGATAAAGCTGAATTTTCACCATAGGTGAGCTGCTGTCTAGGTCGAAACGCATATATAAAGTAGGAATAAGAGAGGGTGAATAAATGACGTGGTAGAGTAATAATAATAATAATAATAATAATAATAATAATAATAATAATAATAATAATAACAATAATAATAATAATAATAATAATAATAATAGTACGAGTTATTTCAATGTTAATCAGATAGAAAGCAATATTTTCCATAAGCGAATTGTTCATCATAGTTTTAGTGAGTGGGCTGGGATACTGCCCGGGTGCCCAGACCGAAGCAGGTGGTTTTCTTAGGGGGCCACACCCCGAGCCTTTGACCTAAGGGTCTAGTCCACAAGGCAGTGGAGCATCGTGAGGAGATGCAGTCCCATGGAAGCCGGTGACCAAAAGTTGGTTCATACGCCATTTGTTCTCGCAGGATACTGGAGCCCATGTGCACCATAGAATTGGGATCCGGTTATAGCGCCGGACGTTCGCTTTTCGTCCTCTCATTTTCGTAAACAACACCCCCGCCACGAGAAGGCAGTGAGTAGGACTTCCCTGGCAGAGGCTGTATACGCGTGGCCGTGTGAGAGTATTTCGAGAGGGAGGGCGAACCCTCCCCACTCTCGGCCATACCAGGGCATTTGGGGGCAGTGCGCATGCACGATATCGCCCCCTGCGAGATTCGAACCCAGGACCTACTGGTTTCGCGCGCGAGCACTTAACCACTAGACCACTGAGCCTCTGAAAACTGAGGTTTTGTTACTTTAGAAAAGTCTGTGCTAAATGTAATGTTTAAGTACATCATCTATTAATTAAGATCTGTATTTATCAAGTTTAGCAATACATTTGCCTTTTATCCAAATACGTTTTAAAATGAAAAAGATGATTCACCATACAATTCCAAGTTAAGAGCCAAAATCTTAAAGAAATCCTTAGACAAATAGAATATTTAAATACTTTAAGTTTATAACAAATATATCTAACTACTTAGTAAGTATTAGCATCACTTAATCATATTATTTATCAATCACAGAATATGCTTCATATCTGTTATCTTACATAAGTAGACCTTATTAAACGCCTTCACTTTATAATTCTGTATGTTGATTTCTTAATTGTTTTTTTTAAGGTGTAGCTTATTAACACTTGATATCAAGAAATTCACTATAATTAATACTTTCTTGATTACTACATGTGGCTTGTCCAGTTGTAACTCAGTCCTGATAAGTTTAATAATAATAAATCAATTAGGTTTCCTAGCATTGTTTAAAATAATTTCTTAAAATATACATAATATATGGTGTACATATTTGTGTTTTCCAGTTTAAAAATACTGGAAACAAATTGATTGATGGAATTCAATTAGGACTAAGGACTAGACAAATCTGATATTGGTTACTTACTACTCAGGAATCGATACATGTAAATATATTGGTCCTAAAAGAGGCTAGTCACTGCCGGAATAGCTCGCTAGTAACGCATCAAACTGTGAAACTTGGTGACATCTCTCTGAATCCCGAACGAAGCATCAAAACCCTCAAAATTGTATATATTTTTTGCTGGTAGGTCCTAACTAGCTTAGAACTTAAGGTCAGTGCTTCTGCCCAACTATTTCGAACCATTGTGCATGAGATGTCAATTCACTTAAATTGGTGGCCACGTTGTAATTTGACTGTCAGGATTTGATCAGAACTTTGAACTAGACAAAAATTGTATTGGTTACCACCTCATGATCAGTAAATGCATATATTGTAATAAAAAGTTCAACGCAGTGAGAGATCATGTGGAATTTCCGATAAGCCTTAGGAAAGTATAAAAACGAATATACGGATAGAATAAAATACCAAGAGACAAAACGTAAACACTTTACGGTTACTTGCCCCATATTGTTAATAAATATTAAATTATTTTCTTGTTCTCACAGGAATGGAGACCAACATTTACTGTAATTGATGAGGTAAGTTATTATATTTTTTCGTCCATTTGTTCATGCAAACTGAAATCAGTTCACTTAAACTTATAATTGTAAACAGTCTCAAATCAAAGTTATAACCCCCCCCCCCGAAATAAATCTGACAAATATTGTTTTCTACTAGGTTTAATTTGAAAAAGATTATGTTAATTATTCATGCTGCAAACTTTGATCAATCTCCTACAAAATTCATCTTGTACATGCCCATCATTTAAGTATAGTAACAAATTACCAATGTTTAAAGTGTGACCGTACGAAACGAATTCACTACTAAATTTAGCTATCATTTCAGTAACTATATTCCCTAAAATGTGTAATTTTCTTTATATTTTGAACACCAAGGGTTGAGACCATGAGTCAGTTGAAGCTAGACTACCATGGAAAACCTGGAAGCACTGGACGGCCGTTTCTTCATAGTATGGGACTCCTCAGTAGTGCGCATCCACGATACCGCCTCGCGCGCGAGCACACAACCATTAGACCACCGAGCCGGCCGCCATCTAACGATGTCAGTGTCTAACGACAACCAATCCACGAAATGGCACCACCGTCCTCAGTGAGCTGATATCTCACAACAGACCCGGCTGAACTCCACTGATCACTACTACTCACTAGAACTCCAGGAAATACCTCTTGGTAACCATCACTAGTGAGCCTACGATGATTATAATCAGAAAGGGGTTTTTGTGGATATTGTAGTAATTTAGAAGTTGCATTCATGAGTCAATTGAAGCTAGACAACCATCATGTCTGTGTACTGAGGTGGTTACTTGTCACCACGATTTAATATCGACTATAAGAAAAAGACAAGAAGTACTAATTATGTTAATGGTTCTTCATTTAATATCAGTTTGAGATTGGAATAACCTGTACAAAAGTTATTATTTATTGATCTCTATAACAAATGTTCACCATTTTAATGGATTGTAGACCAATGTGTAGTTTGAGTATAACTTTATTGAAATACAATCGTAGAATTTCCAGCTTTTAACACCAGAGTGCAAACTATTAAACTAACCTAATGATCAAGATACTGATCATCTGTATCTAACTATTTGTCGTTAAATATAAATAAAATAAAAAAGCATAACATAGATAAACCATACATCTTTTGTATATTGACGTTGTGAATATTGTCTTCAGCATAGACACTTCGAACAGTCACACTATTCAATTAAAGCATACTTGAGGAGTCCCATACTATGGCGAAACGGCCGTCCAGTACCTCCAGGTTTTCCATGGTGGTCTAGCTTCAAATGACTCATGATTTCAACTATTGGAATTAAGAATTCACATAATCAATCCACATTATTACCAACATTCGCAATAAGTGTTTCTTTAAAATACACAAGTAAAGTTGTTCAACCGTTACTTTATATAACTTCGAGATGTTTTTAACCTTTTCAAATCCTAGATGCAAAAGTATTATATCAAAATGCAATTTTTGTATACTTTTATACGATAACATGAACAGCTTATTCATTAGTCTTTGAACTGTATCGTAGTCTGACTACAATTTTGAGCATCGGTATTTAGATTTTATTACATGGTCATCATTAAGTGCAACTGTGAATAAATGGATCTTATTTATGTATGTATAAGTGTTAACTGCTGTTTACTTACAAAAAGATATTCACATCTGATACATTCTTAGTGTTCTTTAGAATGTCAATGAAACCGAAATATTTTGGTATGACCAGTTTTAATGAAAGTTAGTGAGAAACACTAGTAAACATAAAGAACACTTTAGTTAAGAATAGAATGACACACATATATGATATCACAATTATCAAGAATTCACTCATTTCTAGTAGCTTACATCATTTATACTGTCATCGATATTTTTGAGTTTTCTTACTATTTCTTCATAAACAGGTTCCTCATCTACCAAGTACAGCAGATAAATTGGATTCAGTAAAAAATGATGCTATCAGGACACAAACATCTGAGAGTACCACAACCGTCTTCACAGCGCTATATGATTATCGAGCTCAGAGGTCTGATGAATTGAATTTCAAACGTGGAGATAGGTTGAAAATATTGTACAAAGATACTCCTAGATGGTGGATGGCAAAACTGGCTGCTACTGGTCAACAAGGATTTGCACCAGCTAATTATATCTCAGGTAGTTTATTATTATTAAACATTGACCAAAATGGTTTCAATTGAAATACTGAAAATAAAATACATTCTTCTATGTCTTTATTTGTAACAATCAAAGAAAATATTCAGTAGAAAAAAATATATAGCAACAGGATAAGCAAACACTTATATAAAGGATGTTTTATGGTAATTACTGTCAAACAGGAAATAAGCAGGAGTAATTTACATTTATTGTGAGAAGTTATAAAGTTCTGATATAATGCTAATACATAGCCTTCAATCTGCCATTTGCATCCTTTGGTGTGTTCTACAGTTCGAACTGTCGTCTCATCTGAAGACACAAAACTTTATTGGACATCGATAAAACATGACAAGACCAAGAGAGTTCAGAGAAAAATGGTACACCAAGATAAATAACCTTTTACACTGTTTTTACTACAGAATTTCTAGAAGTAAAAACTTTATGGGATTACAAAAGGGTATTTAAGTGTTGTTCATGTCTCATGCTAAAGTTGAAAATTTGACATTTAGATGGATTAAGTGTGAAATCATTAACAACAGACCATTGTTCAATTGAGACATAATAACTCATTCATTTCAAGGAGATATAATGAAGTAGAAATCGGCATACATACAGCGAGATCATCAGCATATTTAACAACGTGTTTTCTGTAAAAGATGGTAGATCATGGATACAAAACTCGAAGAGAAAAGCAGGAAGGACAACTCCTTGTAGCACACTTTTTTGACTTAGTAAAGATGTTGAACATTTCCCTCCAAGCACAGTATACCGTTCTCCTCTAGATAGGTAAGAATACAGCCATTATCTTAAATTATTCTGTATTTAATTGCTGTTAAATTTTGCTTCTAATTACATTTTTGATAGTTATATAAACCTATGATAATAATTTAATATCGTTTATCATTCTTGTTTATTTCAAAAAATCTTATTTAGAGGATATTCATGGTAAAGATGATGACAACAGTCAACAGCTCGCTTCAACAAACAAGCACAATCCATCAAATTTGTCTGAAACACATTTAAAACATCTGGATTTATCAGAAGAACAAATTCTTAGTAAATTTAACAATAAATCTGGTTCAGTGAACAATAATAATTTGCACTTATGGGATTCTGGTTTAATCGATGATAACATCAATTATTCGAAAAACTCACAAACTCAGTCTAATTATATGGGTCTTTCTAATATAGACATGAAGCCTATTACACTAAGTTCCGGTTCAATGAAAAAACGTAAGAGTTCTGCAAGACCTTTACCCACGTTAAATTAAGTATTAAAATGTATTGTTGTTATACTCTTCAGTATTAATATTATCCTATTTTCTTTTTTAAATTGCTTTTTCTATATTAACGAAGTCTGGTTGCGTTTTCTTACTACTTTTTTAAGGCATGGGAATTATGTGTATTATTTCATCTAACAAATGTAACAAGGAGGAATTCAGAGTGTATTATGTTTAGGAATAAACCAGTACATTTAAAATACAAATTTATCAGCACGTGTAACGAAAGAGCTCTAATCTACAAATTATTAAGTGGTGTCTAACAAGATTTTTCATATCTCAAATAAAAACGTATTCAACCGACGGTGAAGCTGTTTAGTTTTGCTTTATGTTAGTTATCTATGACCAAATTGTGATTACCTTGTGTTCGATGTGTCGATGTGATCCTTTAGATTTTGGTCAAACTCCAAAAAGCTTCTGTCTTACATTACCTCGTAACTTTTAACGTCACAAACGCTTCTGTCACTTCAAAGGTAGGTAGCTATGATGATTAGGAGTAATTGAATTATAGTACTAACTAAGAATCCCAGAAATAACGCAATCGAATCAAGAAGTACTAGACAAGCACTAACGAATGTGCTGTATTTGAAATTCGAAATTATGCATTCAAAAAGTACAAAGATATCATTAATTCCTTCAAACACCACATCCGCCACAGCTTAAATTGGAGTCTAGGTGTCTGTAATCAATTGTACATCTTCTTCTCAAGTTCATCCTATATCTGTCTGACAGTGTATTGGATAAGGACTCTGTATTATCTAAAATGTACTCATTAGCATTAGAATTAACAACCGAAATCGGAACAGACTCACTTGCTTCCTGGGATTGTGTACGATCATTATGTCGGTTGAGCACTGAAACTACTGCTACCTAGAATTTGAACCATAGACATTCAGACTATCCTCCCTCGCGAAATAATGTCGGATCTTCATATCCCCAAGTTATGGATAATGTAGCTTCATTTAAAACATCTTTCTCACATTGACTAGAGTATACATTGGGAGTGACTTTATGATAAAGATAAACAACAGTTGATATAGAATCATCTGAATTGTAATCAGGATCGAGCCCATTTGATACTCGCAGTTCGCATTGAACAAGTTTCCCACAAGAAACAAATGCATTATGAGGACAAATATTACTTGATATGACATCAAGTATTGATCCTTCTGAAATAGTTCCCTCAAATTTATTAAGACTGTCATTGTAGAGTAAAGGATCATTAGAAAAATCAGCATCTATCAAGACTACATCAGGTTTCCGATCATGATTAAGTTCATCCGAAATATTTTCCTCAGATTTGTAGGAAATTTCATCAGAAATATGTGAATCATTAGGATAAATCATATCTGGTACAATAACATGGGAAATCTGATAGGTTGATTGATTAGAAATTGTTGTCTCGCAAGAATTCTGAGTTTCATTTAACTCTGAACTGCTGTATGACTCTAAACTGTCTTTTGAAATCATTGATAAAGATAAATGATCATTATAAATACTGAACTTAATAGAATCAGAATTACAAGACTTAATATTAGTTGCAGCAAGATGAACAGTAGTATTACAAACTGACTGAATATGCCCAACATCACCATATTTAAAGCACTTAGAATTACGAGATTTACATGAATTAAAAGAGTGGAACCTGCCACAGCACAAACATTGACCAAACTTGATCCCATCTTCGTGAACTGCATCGCAACTCCTAAATGAATTATCTGCATAATCTTGAGTATGCACTGGGTTGGGATGACGTAATGTAGTGGAATTTTTTATATCCACATGAATCATTTTACGAAATCTCCCTCCTTTAACGCATTCGGAATTAGTATACTTAACATAGTCCAGCAGCACTTCTTTGAGAGTTGTATCCCAAGCTCTCAACTTTGGGGAGCTTTTGGGAAATCCCTAAAATGAAACAGCCTTCCCTAAAGTTTGGGGAAAATCACGAGATCATGCGTAGCGCATCATTCCACAGTAACATTTTATATGCGTTCGGTTATTAAACGTGAGAACATTAAATTACAATGAAAATTTGTTAATTTTGATACAATAAAGACTTTTGGTCAGGAATGGTTTATCGACTTTCGTGTCTTGTTTTAATACGTCAAACAGACACGAGACAATGAATTGTCGTCTCTAAACTACTTTTTCAAAATTCAAACGCCATGCAGGTGAGTTCTTAGCATTATCCGAAACTTTGATTACCGTAGTTCTTCAGTTTTACTTAAGTGAATTGTCTCTTTCAGGAAAATAATTTACAGCTTGATAAGATTGCGAAAAGAAGGGTTCAAGCCGCCAGAGATTTGAGGTTGCTGGGCTGTCCCAGATCAACTTATTACAGAAGGTTGCGCAAGTTGAGAGATGAATCCATAAGAAATTATCAGTTAAGCAGCAGTTACGAAGATGACAACAATTCAGTTGTCGTCACAGGAGTAGGTACAACGGTTGCTACAGAGCAGTGTAACACTATTGTCTCAGAAACAGACACCGCTTCATGTAGTTATGTCCAGTGTGTTGGCAGTACAGCCGATGGTAGTGTATCTTCCTTAATTAATTATGTATAGGTGGTGTGATTTCAAAAATGTCTCCACCCAGTCATCTTTCAATGAAAGAAGAGGTAGACCGAATTATCATAGGCTTGATGAAATGTGGTGATATAACCGTGAAGAAGGCTGACGAAATTCTGAACCTATTTTGCATGCGCATTCCTGAACTACCGACATCCGTCCGAAGTGTTCGACGTAGATGCAACGACGTGGAGCCTAAAATTGTCGGAACGGGGACTTATCACGATTCGGGATTGAAATCAAGTCTGCTGAGGATTTCGGAAACTTGGCTACGTAAATTCCGTTTTACAGAACTAAAGCTGAAGTTGAACTACGATGGTCTAAGCTTGTTTAAAAGCTCTAACCAACAGCTGTGGCCGATACTAGGTCGCATAGCTGGTCCAATAGTTAGTAATGTATTTATAGTTGGGATATATGGGGGTGAAGTGAAACCATGTGATTTCAACATGTCAGCAGCACTCATCGCTGAGTTGCAACAGTTGCTGACAGTAGGTCTAAGTGTAGATAAGTATCAGGTACATTTAACAGTTAAATTGGTTGCTGTTATTTGTGACGCTCCGGCTCGCAGTAACGTTCGGTATGTTGTTGGACACAACGGTACTGCTGGCTGTGATTTACAGCATCAATCAGGAAAGTACATATTGATTAATGATAAGGAGAAGAAACAAGTTATTTTCATTCCTAAGAAATGGTTCTTGAACAACGAGCATTATGTTTATCGGGATGATGTTACGGAGAAGGAAATTATTGACGGTGTGGATTTTGATAGTCAATTCACGTTGAAAAAATGCACCGTACTGCATAGTTGTGGTAAGCTGTAATTATTTTTAATACAATGTTTTTAGAGGACTACCATGTAACCCAGGGAATGAAGATATGCTTAACGTCACTACTCGGTTACAATAACAAAGGCACATCAGATGATGAAACTCTGCCTTTTGAAGCAGAAAAGCCAAATAGGTAATTTGTTCAGCTTACTAAATCACTTTAATGTTAGGGCCGCGAAACGTAAACTTTGTGACTATCTATGCACCTACGAAGAGCTAGAGGTTGCTGAGGTGGAAGCTGGATTTGCCCTGGTCGAATTTCCAGTTGTAAACATTTTGACAGGAAGATTTTCGCCTATAGCCAAGTAAGTACCTATTTAATCTATACTCATAAAGTAGCTCATCAAAAACAGATGTTTCATCACCGCCCATTCCATATACATCCACGACAGTTGATAAATCGTAAGTTGCATTTACTGTTTTCCTGATAACAAAAGGTTGGGCGACGATATCCATAAAATGCTCAGAATGATGCTGAAGGCGGTAGGTGATCTTTCTCGTAAGATGGATAAATTGATCACCTGCAACGAACGCTTATCCATGGGTGTAACTGACAGGCGTACGGAGCCCGTAGACACTGCAGCTATCGCATTCTCATAAACAACGCATGAGGACTTGCGTTCTTTAGAAGCTGCTTTAGATAAAGTACAGTTCCGGGATTACTTCGTGAGTTGTTACAGGTATTTAAACAAATTTCAGGTGGGAAGATTATACGGGTTCCTGTGTGACGACCCTCGGAAATCAGCGAAAGCTTGTCTGAGTTACGTGCTTTCGCCGGAACTGGCGAACAATTACACTTTGCACGGAACACAAAGTAAACTTGGTATTAGTAAGTACAAATTTTACTCAACCGTTCAAAGTCAGTCCACACTATTGCATTAACATATTGATAGGTGTTCTGTGTTCCCATTTCCGAAGTACGACCTGTCTCGAAAAGGATTTAATATACGCCATGGGTACAGCAAGCCAGGTTTTCTTGTATGACGCAAGGGATAAATTTAATAAACGTGGATGGCGATCCAAAGAAAAGGTGAGCTAATGCAATAATACATATTGCACTTTTATTATTACTTTGTGATCAATACTTACAGTAATAAAAATTTTGTCATATTTCTCTTGTTTTCAGCTGGCTTCACAGGCTTTATCTGACGTTACTGTGAGTTATTGTTCGCATTATTGACAGCATTGTCATACTGTTTGTACGTGATCGACGTTTCACATATCTTCACATGTGATTGTAAACTAAAAAGTCTTTTTTCATTTTTTAGAACCTACCAAATGACAGTTCAACTTCTGCGTAACGTGTTACACTAACAGAGCAATGAAAAACGTTGTATAAATGAATAATGTGTAATTTTATTAAGTATAATAAACATTTAAATATGTCAAAAATCAGTCTTTTAATGAAAGTGATAAATCGATTGCCGTTAAGTTTCTTTGGCAACACGTAATTGACGAAAAATAATTTAATATCCCAGTACGAAATGTACGTATGTATTCTCCCTAGGTTTTCCGTGATGTCCGCAGATTTCGCTTTAAGTTTTGCGTTAACACGGTTCCGTGGAAATACCACAACGTGTGGGGAAAAAACGCTTAAGTTAGGGGAGATTTTGGGTTTTTTGTGCCACTTCCCCAAAGTTGGGAGTTTGGGTATGGTAAGGAAGTGAAATGGGCTTTTCCGGTAAAGCCAAAACTTTTAATAAGCTATATGCTCCGATGAATGTGAGGAAATATGTTACAATATTAACATCCTCATCATCTTCCTTGGTCATAGCCCAGATTTCAAAATCTAAATGTATATCCAACAATTCCATCACAGGCTCAATCGCAACGCCAATAGGATGATTAGTAGTAATTGAATTATAGTACTAACTAAGAATCCCAGAAATAACGCAATCGAATCAAGAAGTACTAGACAAGCACTAACGAATGTGCTGTATTTGAAATTCGAAATTATGCATTCAACAAGTACAAAGATATCATTAATTCCTTTAAACACCACATTAGCCCAGAACTAAGAGCCATTTGTGATGCTTAATATATTCCATTTAACTAGCAATGTAAACAACAGCAGACGATTCCAAACAAGCATGGAATGTGTACACATCTAATCGAAATGTCAAACAAAAATAGAATAAGTTATTCAAGCGTACATAAAGTAAGACGAACTATAATACCATGTGACCAATGTTCAAGTCAGAGAGAACTCCATGGCCATGACCGGAAGTAATGTGTTTGTAATTTAATTAAAGCTCGCAATAATGTATCATCAACTTGATTCTTCACACAAAAACATAAAAACAAGCCAAAAACAGTTTGTGTGACTTAGCAACTGCTTATGGTTCAAGTAAATGCCTAATTGTTTACTACATGTGGCCACTCCGAATATTACGTGGATCAAGCTATGCTATTTTCTAAGAGTCTTCTATTTCCAAATACGTCATTACTAGCAAGCAGTGTAGCTTTCTGAATCGCCAACTTCTAACTAATAGGATGGATTAACTGATAGAGTCGCTAAGAAAATTAACATTGTTCCAAATGTATTGAGTCCATATGCTACATGTGTTGCAAAACTTCGTGTAACGTCAAAACTTCTTACAGGTCGTTACAATTACAATATAGTGAGGATCGCACTACAGCTGAGTTTAGAACATCGATGAACACTAAAATATCCGGTCGAAAACAAAGATTGGTCAGTTTGTTGGAATCTCAATGTTGTGGGGGATGATTCTTTAAATATTAAAACGTATAATCTTTGTCATTGTCTTTCAGATATCTAAAAGAATAAAATACTAGTTGATGATGATTCAGGTTCCAAGGAATTAGGATTCTGGAAAAGAATCCAGAGACTTGTTAAGTAAAGAATACCAATAATTTAAAATACGACTCAACAATCACAGAAAACGTGATTCTACAACTGTTTCCCATAATCATCCTGTAATTTCCAGCATTTGGATGCAAAGTATAGTTTGGCAAATTAAATTGTTCAAGGAAACTGTGTTATCACGAAGACCTCTTTGCGAACGCGCAAATAACAGAATTGTAGATCACCAACGTAGATGATCTATATCGAAATGATTGGAGGCTTACTCGAGTTAGACGTGAGTGGTGTGACAAACTAGCTAATGTCGAAGTCACACTTCGCGGTCTGCACCTCATTGACGTATCAAGGTACTATAGATGCTTTGAAGACTGTATAACACAGAGGACGTCATTACAGGAATATATTAGTTAAAGTAGATAAAAACGAAGGTGAGACCATTGCAGCATGGACCCGTCCATGGCGTACGATTAACTGATGTGTGTCGGCTGTCCTTGACGTCGACAAGAATTGATGATTTGTTCGATATTCAATGACCGAACTACCGGATAATTTGACTAGGGCTCAGTGGAATTTCGCTGGCCTTACAGAGTCTGATAATTGACAATAAATTAAAATAACTATTAAGGAATACAAAAAAGACAGTGGCCTTTTTACTCGCTGAGTGAATTCTATAGTTTTGATCGTTTATAAAGTTTCAGTTTGGAAAGGACGGGAGGCTTGATGGCCTGTGTTAGTCCTGGCAATTGTGTTCTCTCAGTTAATCCAACTTTCTTTTGAAAGAATCTATGGATGAAGCTTCAACCACGTGTTGAGGTAATGAATTCCACTCGTTGATGATTCGGTGGGAAAGTCGATAATCAGCTGACAAGTGATTTGTTGTGAGCTTGTGAACTTTTTTGGAGTACCCTCGTAAAT